TAAGTGGATTACTCCAAATTTACTTAAAACAGCACACAAAAAATTTAAAAAACAAGTATTTTCCTACGACCTCTTAGGAAAGCGACACATATCTCACTATTTCATCTTATTATTTTTTGTATTTAAAAAAATGAACTAACGAAAAACATTATTGTATTATATTTTTTTATACTTAATGTTATTTTACCGTTCTTATCCTATAAAAATGGTTTGTAAATAAAATCACGTTTTTAATTTCGACAAAACACGATAGGTAAAAACTTTAAAAATTATTCAATAAGGCACATAAAAAAAAGGCCACATTTTGATTGAACCTTTATAGCCAGATTTCCAGATTTCCAGGTTTTACATTTTTTTGATAAAATTATGTTGTGGTCGTAGGAAAATATTGTAAATCACTTGTGTGAAAGTGATTTCACACATTCGTGTGATTGTCGCACTTAGCTTATGCCTCGTGCCGCAATATCTGCCACTCGTGTGAAAAATGTCACTTTCCACATTCGTAATGTAATATACTATTTCAGAATAATATTAAACAAAATAAAAATAAATTGAAGGTTTTTGAGATACAGTAAACGAGGCTTACATTTACCTTAAACCTAAAACAAAAATAGAGAAATACAATTTCAATACTTATTTTAGTAACATGGGAAAATACTAGTATCAGAAATACCTCAAGTGAAAGATGCTCAAGAAGATTTTACAGAAAGTATAAACTTATGTAAGTAACTCAATGTATCTATATTCTGCAACAGAATCGGAAATAAAAAATGCAATCAATGAACTAAAGGTTAAAAAGTGACCAGGATATGATAAAATTAGATATGTGACCTTAAAAAACACATGTGAAGATGTTTTAACACCTTTGACTTACTTAATTAATAATTGCATGGCTGCAGGTTGTTTCCCAAATATTTTTAAGGTAGGTATTGCTAAACCGGTACGTAAAAATGGAAGTAAGTCAGAGATGTCAAACATAGCAAAAGTTGAAAAAGTTCTTAAAAAGAGAATCGTAAATTTACATTGTCAATTTGGCTTTAGGTTGTACATTTGTGGAGTTGTCAAAAGCTTTCGATACGGAATCTCATCTGAAGTCATATGGATTAAAAGGCAATGTGTTTAAATTAATAGCACCTTATCTTTCGGGACGAGTCCAATACGTGGAAAATGATAGTGTCATCACTGCCCAAGTAGTACCATAAAAACACTTTGGGTTTATGTGAGTTTTAAAATGGTTTTAATAAGAAGATACTGTTTTTAAAGTTACCTTGTAGATATACTGCGGGCACTTAATACTGGTAATACTAGTTTTAAAGTATCTAATAAGATTCGCTAATAAGGGTAATTAATCTTAAAAAAGTTTGTTTGTCTTATTGTAGTTTTAAAATGGTTTAGTTTGAATTAAGTTTAAAACAACTTATTTTTATAAAGGATTTGCAGGTTGTTTGGTTTTATTATATTCTAGATTGTGACGTTATAGTTTTTAAGTAATTTTAAATATATTCCTAATGTAACTAATGAAACCTAATATTAAATCTGCTTGATCTTAGAACAATTTGGTCAGTAAATAATGTGTTTTAAAACTTATTCATGACTTTACCTTGTAACGGCTTTCTTAAATGCAATTAGAAAGCTTTATTAAATCGGAACAATCTTAACTAAATCAATTTGGTTATCGTTAAGACTAACTGTACTTACTGTTAGACACAATAAATTTTAACTCATCCCCCCTTCTTTTGTAGTCCAAATTAACCCCGCATTTTGTATCATATCAAACAGTGGTGTACCTACAATAATTAGAAAAACTGAAAACAATATATTATTTCTCTAAAAATACACAAAACACAAACGACTAAACACGGAGATTTTAAGGTTAGGTTTACATTAAAATCGAGCGGCATTTATCACAGCCGCAATAAAACTAAACCGTTTTTATCACAAGCGAACCTTTCTTTTGTCTAGGGTATGTGCTCTTGGAACAGTATAACATTAACTAAACCATTTTACTTTCTCGAGATGGTGGAAACCATGACAGATAAAAATATTTAGGCTTACATAATAACAAGTTAACCACTTAAACGTATAATTTCGGTTTCTTTAAATACAGAAAAACCTAAAATAATAGATAAAATTATTTTTCTTTCAAATTTATTTTTTCAGCCCCTAAGTTTTTTAACTTTTTCGTTAACATTTGTCAATAAAGTCGGGTGCGCAGATATTTCTACCCTGACATTCCGAAATCACTACCTTACTTTTTAATATTTTATAGTTCTATGATACAAATATAAGTACATATAAATAACCTTTTTGGTTAGAGCGTCACCATATTATCATCATATGTTCATAATAAGATAAATTATCTTTAAAAGTATACATTTTTAACTCCACTTCAAAACCGCATGTGTTTAAAATGTATTTAAACTGGTTTTAAAAGGCTCTTCACAGCATCTTTAAAATCAGTTGTTCAAGGTTATATAGTTTTTATGGTGGTTTTTATTTTTGGTTTTATTGACCTCTTATAGAGTGGGTACTTTTATGCTGAAGACATATTTATTACAACCTTAAGGCTTCTTTTAAAACTAATTGGTTTTTATTGCAGTTTTATTCTACAGTTATAAGCATCCTTGAAGTACTGAATAAAACCGTTCGGTGCTACTTGGGATGAGCCAGAATTGGTCTCGTGCGGTTTTCTTCAATGCACAGTATTGGACCCATTATTATTCCTTATATATAGTTTGTTAAAGCTCAACACCGCAGGAAAGGTTATAAGTTTCGCGGACCAGAATCTTCTTACACTAAATATTAAAAAAACTCAATATTTGCTATTTCATCATATGAAAATAATTTGCTTCATTTCGATTCATTAGAAATAGATCAGTTTACTGAGATTCCAGCTCCTACATCAATTAAATATCTAGGCATAATAGTTGATAAACATTTAAGATTTTTTTAATGCCCCAAGTATTGCATTTTTACAATTATTACAATCTCATCATTAAGATCAATTAGCAATTTTATTATAACCTTAATTATCTAGAGATGAAAAACTTCATAAACTAAGAATCTACTCACTAGTGTACCTTAAAGTCTAATTGTTTATTTACACTACCGTTAACGTATACCGACTAAGATTTTTTTTGTAGCCGATTAACTTCAAATTCAATTTTATACATTTTCTGCAATAAAATCCAGATTACAATTTTTGAAGAGAAATTACTAAATTATAATCAAAACACAATGTTATGACACCTAAACAGAGAAATGTTAAAATTTCATACCAATATGGCGAAAGTGACGATAGGTACTTATATCACGTGATGTCATCTTCATCCCTTATAATCTCCCTGGTAAATTTGAACTGCATAATACGAGTCGGTCGACGTATAAAATTATCTAACACAATAAATTTATGTGGTATGAATTTTGGGAATTTATTCGTTCTATGCTTCATTAGACTACAGATATAACATGTAACACAAAACATCGAAAGGTCATACACATAACAGAACAATCAAATTGCATCAGTTGTGCATTTAAGTAATCAGTGTCGCATTGCTTTAGCAAAGTTATCTCAAATATCTAACAAACCTGATGGAAAACTGCAATAATAATTGCACAATACAATCAGTGCTCTCTGCGAAACACTTAACCAAATCATTGCGCATGATTTAGCTGTATCGAAATGTACATAACAGTCACCCGAACTGAATAATAATATTTAAAGAACTCATTGAACGTTTGGGATGAAACGATATGGTGATTTCACGATAGGGAAAATTTGAATTAAATATAGGGTGATTCTAATTTTACCTGATTTTGATTTCTGAGAACATTGAATATCAGAACCGTTTTTCAAAATCACTAAATTATTGTTGTAAGTATTCTAGCAAAATAATTTACCTAAAAAAACTAAGTTCTTTATAGCCTCTATAGTTTATCATAGCTTCTAATTAATTAAATATTCCTTGCTCCAGAAAATGAAATACATGGTTTCAAATAAAATGTATACTTAATAATAAAATATGAATTTCCAAATACCCAACCATTTAATTATTGACAAACCTGCATTTCCCGTTTCTCTAGATTTTTCTGATCTGTTTGGTCTTTGTTTTATATGTTTTTATAAAGTAACTTTAGATTTATTAGTCACTATTGTAGAAATCAACTTCAAATTTAGACACTCCCATTTTCTAGCTAAGTCCGATATTGGGAGCTGTTTAAAGGCAACCATTTTAGAGCTGCTCATTTGGCAAAAATCAGTAAAACATCAGAAAAACTCGAACCATAACTCCTTGCAATAACTCCTTTATATTTCTTTATATAATATTCTTAGCGTAACTGGGATGGAGTTTAGAAGTTATTTTAGATCGTCCGAGAGTTCTTTTGCTTCTTGGTTAATCCTTATATTTGGTTAGATCATCTTCTTTTCTTAAGTTTCTTGGAATCGGTAGAGGACCTGGTCTCCATTCAGTTCTTTGAAATAATTGGTATGCTCTAGTTACTTATCCAGTTTACTCTGCATTTCAAAGAATGATCATATACTAGAAATATCATATCGGTTGGTTTTAGATTGTTCGACCCTGCATATTTGAAAATAAATTCACCTTACCTATATATAAACACGTGACTCCTAGTACTTAAATGGAAAACTACCTCTCGTCATTTGGGTATGAAAATAAACACAATAGTTGATAGTATTTCAATTTTGAGGTCATAATACAAATCTGTAACATAATCTGGAAAATCGGAAACTATTTAGTAGAGTTAAAAACAAGAAAAAAAAAAGAAAAATACGAAACTGGATTAAAGTATAAATAGAACAAGAATTGATTATGATCAACAACTGCAATCAATGACCTATGCAAGCTAGATGTTTAGTTGAAGATTTAAGTTGTTAATTAAGTAAGTAGCTCTTATCTGGATAACAAAACGAATGTAAACTTTTACGAGATTAATAACTCTCAGACTGAGATCATTAAAAACAGATAAAGGGAGAAAATATGATAAACTTATGGCAGGTAAAATGAGAAACTCACTTTAGGACGAAGATCTATATTCCAAAATTATATTCCTTTGGGAAAACTATTAACAACTGAGTAACTACCTACACCAATTCTTAACCAGATACGGAATTTTTAAGAATTATACGAAGATAATGTCCATAACTCCAGCTGATGAGTGTGTGTCACGCGGAGGATACAGCTCAAAATCACCGAGTTACCATGTAATAGGTGAAACCAGTGGCTATAGGCGAGATGGAAAATCAACTAAAGATTGCCGCAAACAGCAGAGCTAATGGTAATAACTGAAGACACTGTTAACAAAAATTAGATTTATAAGGAAAGTAATGCAAATGAAAGAAAAATGAAAGAATAGGAAATGATATAAAGATGAGATATTTTGAAAAATAGAGACACAGATGTAAGGCAAGTTCTTTAATGGGTCTTTACGACAATTTCTTGTGCACCACAAATGCTTTGAATGGGGGGTGGGCCTACTCACTGATCTACCGTGATAGAGGACTAATGCCTGCAAGAACACAAGCTGGTACTATAACCAGAAATATCTGAGGGTGCCGTTATTAAAGGACATGGCTGGATGAAAGTTAGAAAGCTAGTAAAGTTTGAAGTACAAGGTCAGGAAATAATATCTAATCAGTTAAATATTTGGATATATAGAATGATGACAGATTAAACTTCAAAAGACATATTGAATAACCAACAAAAAAGCAGAGGACTGGATTGGAAATGTTGGAGGAGCTCAAAGCCGAAGAAGAGAAGTCCCGTGCAGAGTAGTGCACTTGGTTTTGTTATACACCAGTATGGGTGGAAGCAATGCAAGGAAATGTACACAAAGCAAAGATGGAAAAGTGGAAAGACGAAGGGCTCTTCGGAGAGCTGGATTTTATAGAATCGTATCGTCCCAAGCAGCACTGGTCCTAGCAGGAATTATCCCTATCCATATTCTGGCAAAAGATAGAGAAAAATTACATAAACAAGTGTCAGATATTAATGAAATAATCAAGAGAGAGGAAGGGCAAACGACTAAAAAGATGGCAAATAGTAAAAGAGCAAAGCAAAGTTTACAAAAATGCTTATACCTTTTGTGTAAAGATGATACAATTATTAATAAAGAAACATCGAATTTTATATGACACAGGTTCTAAGCGGACACGGATCATTTAAATCCTTTACCATTAGGATGCCTCTGTATTTTCTGCAGACAAGAAGACATGCCAGAGCATATGTTTTTCTGGTACCTAAATAAGACATGAAATACTCCGACAAGAGATGTATGAAAAATTAAGGGAGATACTAACCATGAATAATGTACCATAACAAATAGCCATCTTGGAATATTGTAACTGACTGCATGAAAAAATTATGAAAATAAAAGAACGGGACGAATGAGCAGTACACGACAATGAGACTAACAAATTAGAGCATACCTCTAAAGGAAGAAGAGGTGTTTTTTAGACAGTAGGCTTTCAAAAAGGAAGGTGCGAATGCTTTGGGGCTGCTAAGGGACACCAGCCAAGTCTCTACGTACTCCTGATTGGAAATGGAAAATGATTTCCAATCTCCATAAAAAAATATTGAAACATCGAAGTGAAATTGGTTACCCTTTCTTGTATCTATGTATATCTTGAAATAATTATATACTTTAAATAAAAACGAAACAAACATTCACATACCAATTTAGTTTAATCAAATATTTTTCACGTACCGCCAAAATTGCAGTGAAATAAACTGCAAACTGCGTAAAAAAACCTCCGATTATTTTTCTTTTCGCCAAATCGTAAATCAGTAGCTGGATGCGAGAGAGCATCGAAAAGCCCTGTACAGTAATTATCCACCATAGTATCCCCGATTAAAATTGCTCTCTCGTTGTTCGTTTTATTTATGTTAAACGCAACTCGCGAGGCAATCAGCGTAATCAATTCTGTTTTTATTTATTGTCAAACCACGCAGCGAGTCAACGAGTCGTTCACAGCCAGTACACGCGGACCGAACGCAAACATGGAACAGATTTTACGTTTGATATTGCTAACGATTGTTTTTTGTACCAATAGAGGATGATGGAATACAAAGCAACGCTGGGCCATCTACTTCATTAACTGGCAGTTTTGCTAGTTGAGTTACATTACATTTTTATCTTATTAGAATGTAAAAGTTCTATAATTTTTACGATACAAATCAACACAATGCGTGGCTTTATTGCAGTAGAGATAAAAGTAATAAAATATGAGTAGCCATTAAATTAAAAGAAAAAAAAAATCTAGTAATAAGTAAAGTTCGGATTCATAGGCAACAAAAATTGAAGCAAGGGGCGATTTTATACGCAAAATTTTTTATTGAAAATGCAGAAATCTTAACATATAGACAATATAGGCATATGCATTTAACTTCAACGTACTCTCCTCCGGTCAAGATTTATTAAAATGGTTTTCAAAAAATAACAAAACTATGATTATTGACTTTATACAAAGGAATGTTGGCAACCATCATCTGTCAAATCAAATTTAAACGTGTCCTTCTTTTTACTTCTCTCTATAAAAGAGAAGTATTATAACCGTGAAAAAGTCACCTTCCGAGATTATTTTAGATTTTCACGTTTTAGGGTCACTAGATTACGAGAAATATGTCTCCGTTGGCGCGATAGCTCAAAAACGGCTTTATAGAAAAACTTAAAATTTTGTATTGAGGTAAGGTTCCTGTCTGGCTCAAAACCAGTTATACTTCCGATCAATTATATACAGGGTAAGCAGTTATTAAAAATTATTTTTAAAAATCGGCAGATTTCGACTAAAATTGGTATCTGAGAATTTTAGATAGCAAAGATTACAGATCCTAATTAATTTTTAAAAAATTCTAAATGGTGCTGAAAGGAATCGTATTTAATCAAAAAAAGGCCCTCCTTGAATCAAAATAATAAACATTGTCCTTTTGGATTGTGTAACGAGACTATTTTAAAAGCAGCCAATCATTGTTGTCTAATGACGGTGATCGTGGCGAAGAATACTGAGTGGACGCGAAGTGAGAATTCGGGTGGGATCAAGAGGAAGATCAATGGAAAGAGAAATGTGAAAAAGGGTTTTTAGTTTGGTGGTTTTAATTTTAAATTACTAAAATTTAAGTGCTTAGGAGTTTCCTGTTTTTACAATTTCTATATCGAGGGAAGTTCTGGGTAAAATGCTTTACCGATTTTTTAAATTTTAACACCCGTTAACCACCCATTTTTTTTAACTACTTAAACTTTAAACTATAGATGTTTGGACTAACTTAGAGGAACTTTTTCCAAATTCCGTTTACGAAGTGAAGTCACAATACTGGTCAATAAAGTACTTTTTAGTAATTGAAATCTGAAAATTTTAAAAACTAACTCTAATTAGGAATAATATACCATTCTATAATATTTAAGTTATGGGGAGAGAGAGAGAGATCAAATAAGTTTGGGATATAGTCGGATCCATGCACTTAACTTTCTAAACAAACTCACAAAACGTCTAACATTTTTTAAAATGTGTGTTATTTACTTTTCAATATACGCAATAAAACTTAACTCTGATATAGTAACCGCCTGTACAATTAATATTGATAATATTGATGATTTTTTATTATAAAAGGGAAAAAGGTTAGGGATTACCAAATAGCCTCGAACAGGTAAATTTTCCTAGAAAACCATTAACAAAAAACCCATTGATATTCTATTATTGACCCAAAATGTTATTATGGAAACGTTTAATAATAGTAATATGAATATTATCATGCGTAGGTCGCATAAAATTTTAAAAAGGCACAAGAAGGCGGAAAAAATCAAAATGTTCAAAGTACAAAGGAGCATTAAATAAAAAAATACAGTATTGAAAAAGTTGAAAAATAAGTGACTTTAACAGAGAACGGAAAAGAGGCAGACGAAATTGAAAAAAAAATTGCTGAAGAAAAAAAGAATAGCTTAGGGGCACTTCAAAGAATGCTGAAATACAGAACGATAATTCGACCTAATATCATGTATAAATAAGAACAGAAATCTGAATAAGAAGTAAGGAATATGAATTAAATCTGAAGAATGAGGAGAAAATTCAAGAAAGATCTATGAAGAAGTTAAAGAAAGTGTTAATTGGAGAAGCCTAACAAATGAGGGCTAATGTCAAACATTCAGGAAATCAATAACCACGCGTTAGAATAGACCGGACATATTTAAGAACAAGTGAAAGATGTTGGATCAAGACAATTATGGCTAGAGGAGAAAGTTGGTAAAAGAGAAAGAGGCAGTTCCTGGAAAAAATGAATGTACGCAGTTAAAGAATATCTGGAAATATACGGATGAAAAACTAGAGGAAAAGTTGCCGAAGACAAAATACAAAAAGTTTAGAAGTCATTGGTATATACGACGGTGTCTTAGTTATAGTTTATTTAAAAATGCACTATAGTACATTTATGGCAAAGGTCTATATACAGGATTGTTCAAAGCAGAAAAAAAGTAAATATTGATTCGTCGCCACGGCAAATAATAATAATAATAATAGCCGCCAATAATAATAGCCGCCCCTTCCCCTACACAAGTCGTTCAGTCGACTTCAGGGGTTGAAATTCACTCGTAAGGGGGTGAATTAGGGAGAGTATTATTATTATTATTACTAGATTTTAGTATGACCATCCCGAAAAATATCGAATAAAATAAATCATAAAATGTAAATGAGCAAACCCTAAGGGATTAGCCAATAATTCTATGCCTTAGTGACGGGAACACGAAATTACTTTAATATAAAAATAGTAAACTGTCAATATTAAGTATTTATTTTTATAAAAATAGTGTACTAGATATTAGGCTAGGACATTTCCTTAAAATTGAAAAATAAATATACACACGGCCTAATTTATATGATATACTAAAAACAAATCTTTGAAAAAAAAATCTTTAGTCATAAAACACTCATATTTCGTTTTTAGAAATACGGGGCGATTCCATATAAATTTGTTTGTATTTCGGGTACTAGCGTCATATAAACTTATTATAATTAATATAAATATAGAGTTACATACCTAAATAAATAAATCTCCCGATAAGGAGTTATCATCATTAGTTTCCTTACTTCCCACAGAAATAATAATTGCTTCCTCTATTAACTTATTAAGTTTCCAGAATTTCTCTTCTTATAGCGTTTAGCCAATTATCCGGTTTAATAACATTTTTACATTTTTAATATGGAGTCACATAATAGTTAACAAACATTTTATGTTTTTATATTTCGAACGGTTGAACCAAATTCACTGAAGCAGGGATTGTATATACATACCACTAAATCCTGTATTTCGGAAACCAGTAATATTTTATTCAAGTATTTTTCATTTAATCGTCTTATTTTTATTCAGAGAAACTTCAATTGTTCTTTGTCCCATTCTTGATGAGACCCTGTATATTTTTTTGACTTAAGATGGATGGAGTAATTCCAAGATGTCTACTGTAATCAACTATTAGCACTGGAAAAAACTTTGGGGAAACTGGAGAAGTAAGTCCAGCAAAAGACTCATTGATTATGAATGTACGAGTCAAAAAAAGAAAATTAAAAAAATAGTCAAAATCATAACGACATGCAATACATCTAGTACTTGGTACTTAATTTATTAATATGAAGGCAGATTTTGTGTATACCCCTGATCACTGTCACCTTACGAAGGGAAGTTTGATTTGTCTCTTTATATTGATTTTGAGATTTGTTTTGTGAAGTAGCATAGAAACGGATTTTGTTATAAGTGTTTATTTTTATAAAAATTGTCAGTAGATAGAAGGACCCCAACTGCTCAAATAAATATCGAGTTTAGAATAAATATAGTGAAATTTTAATCTAATAATTTACAACGTCCATGTTTGATTATAAATTTTATTATCACATAATTATTATTTTCTTCCATTTTCTTTTGTCGTAAGTTGCTCCCACCAACATAGGGAATTTGGAAATTTGCATTATTGTGATCATAGTGATATCTCACTAATGTTTATAAATTAAAATCATGTAGAAAATTTATGTATTGAAAACATAGATCAATGTTCAAGAAGTTAAAGTTTATTATTATCTACATAATTTTGTTTCTTTCAGGTTTGGTTTCAAAACAGAAGGGCGAAATTTAGAAAACAAGAACGTCTAGCACAACAGAAATCTTCCAACATTAATTCCGATAGTCCAAATCCAACAACGAATATTAAAGCAGAGAACAATAGTTCCACGAAGAACTCTATCAGTAGTAATAAAGATAACGTTAAACCAGGATCACCTCATTCCAGCATATCCACGACACCCAATTCGAATACGAGTAGTATATCAAGCCTTCATTCGAATAATGGCGATATCAAACCTTCCAACGGACATTCTGGTAAGTTAAATATTGAAAAATTAGTCATAGCACTAAAGATTATTTTTGTATAGTAAAATTACCTATTCATTCCAAATCATGCCCCTTTTCGAAAACATGTTTTTAGAGAAAAAAATTTCGAGCAAAATTCCGTAATTCCCCTTTGTCCGTTAACTTGAAATTGAAGGTAATTAGTTAATTAGTTACTTAGTTAGCAGTGTTTAATAGTTCATTTTAATTTGTAACATTTAAAATTAATTTTTTTAATTATGTACACATACTATACTAAATCATTGTAATAATTTTTTTGCTGTGGTTCCAAATTGATATTCTAAAGAGCTTCCCCCCGCTACTCGGTCTTGTCTTCGGCTTCCAAGCAAACCGTTATATAGATAAAGACGGATCACCTGGCGCCTTGAAACAAAAACACATACTACACAAATCGAACAAATACGCTTTCATTGAAAAGTATGTCAGCTAAGCCAAAAAACACTTTGGGTTCAATCATAGCATAAAGATAGATGCGCCTGCTCATCTATCTTTATGCTCGATAATAAATACTTTGATCTTAGTAAGTGAGGTTTCGTTCGCTTCAATCATAATTCCGGTACATATTCACCGACTTTGCTCTGTATGAAAGATACTAACTACAAGACTTACGTGAGCATCCTGAGAATATGGCGAGTCACTTGCTAAGGATGCCGTCGGCACACTTCTATTTGTACGCAGAGTGAGCCTGCTGGTTCAACTTTATGCTGTGGTTCAATTATACCATCGATGGATACCCAGAGGATGCTACTAAAAAAGTATTAAATCTACTGAACGAGCCCGAAGAGCCCATGCCATGTCATCAGCATCTGTCCTGTTCTAGCAACAATGCCGAAATAACGTTTTCTATGAAACGAAAGTAATAAGAAATGCTGACAGATATATTAACTGCTGAAAGATGTCACTTCAGGCAGGAAACTGAAAATGCAGACCACTTATTCGTTTATACAACTATGGAAACATCTTGTCATGGAGGCAGGGGATTCATTATCATGTAGCTGCTCATAGTGAGGAGCAACAACCTATCTCAAACATTTTCTTGATGAAACCTGGGAGAGAAAACCATGGTACCTTAATTGTCACAAAACTGTGAGCTCTCAGAAAAAGCAAAAATATGTTGTTTTTACAAGATTTCTTTGTGATATCACATCAATGTTTTTTCGAAAGGACAAACTCCGCTTGATCAACATATTTAATAGAAACCCAAGTCCTCAAAACATAGCCTCAGTTTTCACAGAGCCTTGTCATAGAACAAATTTAATTTAGCATGCTTGCCTCCTACTGAAGCAGCTGTGTATCAGCACACAGGTATATTTACAGGTGCAGGTATGTAGGGATAAAGATCTAGACCCGCTGCAATGGTGAAAGAACATAACCAGCAATTGTTTGATTCCCATTTTAACAGCCCAACCACCACTGCCCCACGAACTGCTTAATACCATATCCTGCACCTGTATGAAAGGATGCCAAGCAGCCTGTCCCTACAATTGCTCTGCAAAGGGTACTTGTGCTACAACTCCCTCAACGAAGAAGACATTTGCACGATTCAACCAAATTCAACACTAAAATCGATATAATTGAAGAAGATAACGGCTAGAAATTTACTATGAACTCGAAGAAGATCTAATCATTGTTTTTCAAAGACCATCATCCCTAAAACGCCGACAAAGATCCAAAAATAAAATATCTTCTGAATAATGATCATGAAATTTACTTATATGTATTTACTTAAATTTTATATTTTACTTCTATCAAAAGTAGGATTTAGCTTGTCCAATAAAACATTTCAGTTGATATGGGTTTCTGATTTTTTCATCAGTTTCTTATCATTTTGGACTGGCATGGTAATTACATTAGGCTGAAGACTATTTTTTTTGGCAAACACTAGAGATTACTTAAATTGAATTACACATGCTTTCTAAAGTGGCCTAATATTTTTTTTTTCCTGGGCTCGTCTGACTATGTGTCTCCGAATAACACTGAAGCCTATTGGCTTATTGTGTTTTACCCCATGTTAGTTCATAGCACCCACTCTATCACCTTTGTATCTTGTACAAGTTTGTACAGATCCTTGGGTGAGTGGGTTCTATACGTTGTTGGATCAACCTGGGGTTGTCCAAAAAGAGCCTGTCTTTTGCGATCTAGAGCTTCGCATTCGCACAGTATGTGTTTGGCCGTTTCTGGTTTCTTGTGACATAGTCGGCACATGAGTTCCCCATTGTACATGCCAATTTTGTTCAAGTGTCCCTTTACTGGGGCGTGCCCAGTCATGAACCCTGTTATCACTTTCAACTGGTCCTATTCATTAAGGGTAGTTCTCCAGTTCTTTTGGGATATGGTCTGCCTATGAAGGCTTTTCCATGTGCCTGTTTTGGGGTGCTTCCCCAATAGTTGATATGTTGTTCCCGAATCCAGTCATTTATAAAACCCCGGACTGTACTTTTTGGTACTCCTGGGTTTGTGTCTGGTTCCGGTGTTTCTTCTGACCCTCTTTTTGCAAGTTCGTCAGCCTTTTCGTTGCCTTCGATCCCTTTGTGACCTGGCACCCAAAATAGTTTTACTCTATTTCGGTCTGCCAGTGTTCTTAGTTCTTCGATGCATTCCCATACCAGCCTCGACGTAACTTTCTGACTCGATATGGCCTTAAGTGCCGCTTGGCTGTCTGACATTTATGGCCTAATATTACATTGCAAACGGCAGCAAATCTGAATTAGTAATTCTTAAACTGTGGTTAGTTTCATTTGAACTAGCCGTTTTTAAGATACAGGCATTAAAATACAATAACAATCAACTTTTCTCGCATGTTGGTGAACATTTCCGATTGCTGACGATAGAGTTTGGCTAAAAGGCTGAACCGATTTTGACTTAAATTGACTTCAATCGAGTCGAAATTTTAAGTTCTTCACATTTAGTGAAATTTGTTGAAGGATGTGTTGTTTTAAAATTTTAGGCGAAAAGCTGAAAAAGTAACTGTTTTTTGGCCCTCAAAAGTTAAGCCCAGCTCAAAAATCGTCGCAAACTCATAAAACACCATTTTTAAGATGTCTAAAGTTGAAAATACAACTTTATACAAATTGTTGGACAGTAAAAGTCTAACTTGCCTACTCTATAAGGCCTATCTATTACCTACTTAAATCATATTTTCTACATTGCACAAAAAGATATTTTCGCAAGCTGTTGTATCGAATTAACTCATTTTTATGTAAATCTCTCACAAATTTTTTTTCGGATAGTTGATAGCGTAGGTAAAACCTTAGCCGTCTCTCTGTCTGTAAAAACTTTAGATTATATTTCAAAATTCAATTGGAACAATTTACTTCGAGTCCCAGTCTCAATAGAGAAAACAAAGAGACAAAAACAAAAATTTCCAGCGATTCCCGAGTCTGTTGGGACAGTGCATTCCGGAATTAATTTTCTGAGAACTCAACCAGATTAGGAGATAGCAGCACACATCCAACACCCAATAGAAAAACTTCCCATCCTCTAATGTGACATCAGATTACGTTGGAAAGAATTCCTGGTCGTCCATAGTGGAGTGGTGTGTGTACGTAGGCAGCAGCTAAAGAGTTGACAGTAATTGAAACAAATGGGCGGCAGCGGGCAATTTTCTAGATTAAATGTCAGAACGGCGCAAGGGAAGCTCCTGCTCCTGCTGCCACGTTTTCGTCCTACTCCTGTTAGTCCTGCTTGCTGCACGTACGTATTCTCTCTCTTGCTGCTTTTGCCTCCTGCCCGACAGCGTCCTGCTATATAATGTTATTCGCGTTGATGCAGGATAGGACCAACAATATTTTCATTATATTATATTACTGCACACTGGAAAATAGTGTCAAATTTACTATAAGTTTAAGACAACATTTATGTTAAGAAAGATTATATATTTTCTGACCCTATATCACAATTGGCCATAGCCTACTTTAGATATACGTAATTAAATATTCAAAATATCAGTTTTGGTTTTGATAGTATTCAAACTATCAACATATTCGAGTTATACTCTCTTTAAATAGAGATATCCTTGGTATTTTTTAAATTCCTATTGCCAAGGACCTGACGCTGTAAAGTAAATGGTATAAGGATTGTTACAAGAAGAGAAAGAATATTGCCATGTCATATGAAAAAAAGAAAATTATTAGAAATTAGTATTTAAATATTTCATTTTATCTTTATCTTTCTTTCAATTATCTAGCATAAAATTAAAAAAAAACAAAGGAAGCATCAGCAATGTTTTTACATTAAATACTATTTACAATATATTGGTTATATTTCTCTTATTACAATAATTATAAGTAAAATCTTAAGATAAAATTTCAAAATAATCTCGCATTAACTATAGTTAATCGATAAGAAACGCCTAATAAATCCACCCCTGAAATAGAGTCGCAAATAGGAAAGAAATCATTTAGTAATCGAGAATGAATAACACATATGAAAGTTTTTGATGTCTACCAGCTGGTTGTTCTGAGATTTATCTACGAATATAAAAATGATATTGTCTCATTCGATTCCATAAATAATATCTATTAAAGATTTATTAGATGTTCGACGAAAATAAAAATCTAGACGGTTATTCGTGTGCCTCTACCTGAATCAAACTTTTGAACGTTTGGTTATTTATTGAATGAAATCGCTTTCAGAATTAAATTTAGTGAGTACATTTTGAACTTCTTCGAGAATTGAGACGAAAGTTTAATGATCTAATCATAAATTAACTATAGTTTTGGGGTAATGTTGTCTTTGTGAATTCATACACAGAGAGAACAATTAGTATTATAAAAAATGTATTAACAGTTAAAAAATAAAGGTTTGAATCTGACCTAAATTATATAATTTGAATGTTAATTAGCCATTTATTATTTGTTTCCAAATAAATACTTTTATCTATTAATAAACTAAATTAAAAAAATATTTCTTACCATTTCTAAAATGTTTTTTAACTATTGATAGGTATTCTAATAAATATTTTAGAATTA